AAGGGGGTTAGAAATTTCCCACTTTCTGGGCACAGTGGTGCACACCTAGAATCCCAACAGCTCAGGAGGCTGAGGCAGGAGAATTGCAAGTTCAAAGCCAGCCTCAGCAAAAGTGAGGTGCTAAGCCACTCAGTGAGACCCTGTCTCTAAATTAAAATACAAAATAGGGCTGGAGATGTGGCTCATTGGTCGACTGCCACTGAGTTCAATCCCCAGCACTCCCAAAAAATAAAAAATAAATTTACTACCTTCGAAGAGCTGGTAGGTGACAGAATCAACACATAAACTCAAGCAAGCATGATGCTGCATGCTGATTTTTTTCCCTGTGTGAACTCCCAATCTGGGAAGAGAGATGACAGCAAGGCTAAAGTGTGAGAGGCCACATACTTCCAGCGTGGGTGCAAGGTGGGTGCACATACAAGAGTGAGGGGACCATATTTGCCATGTTGTCTTGCCACCTTTCCAGCCTCATCTAGCACTTGCCTAAAACTCTCTTCTCCACCCACCTGAGGCTGATTAATAGCTTTTTAGCCTTCCCAGACGTTCCCATTACTTCCCTTACAAGGTGAGGTACCCCCCCGGGGCCCCCCTAGCACTTCACTTTAACCCTACTTTTAGTTTTCATACTGTATTAAAATTGCCATTTTTTGAGCCAGTCGTGAAGCATCACCTGTAATCCCAGAGACTGAGGCAGGAGGATCACAAGTTCAAAACCAGCCTCAACAAAAAGTGAGGCACTAAGCAACTCAGTGAGACCCTGTCTCTATAAATAAAATACAAAATAGGGCTGGGGATGTGGCTCAGTGGTTTAGTGTCCCTGATCAATCCCTGGTACCCAAAAAAATATAAAATAAAATAGTCTGGTCCCTTCATGTCAGGAAGCCCCAGGGGAAAAGAACATAGCTCTCAATCCTAACATAGAGTCTGGCACTTTCTAGATGCTCAGTAAATGTTGGCTTAATATGTGGCATGGAGAATTTCGCATTGCTCAAAGAAGGCCTCACAGAGGTAGTGACATTTAAAGAGACTTAGTTAAATTGCCAGGAACTTTGCCAGGTCAGTAGTTTTCAACCAGATTCATGAAGGCATTGAAACTACTCATGAGGGCTAGAGTTGTGGCTCAGCAGTAGAGCACTTGCCTAGCACATGCATGATCCTCAGCACCACATAAAAATAAATAAATAAAATAAAGGTATTGTGTCCAACTACAACTAAAAAATAAATATTAAAAAAACTACTCATGAAACTTTCTTCATCATAATACTAATCATCATCATCTCCATCATAAGGGCCAGCAGGGGTTCTCAGTATTTGACATGTTTTAACTCATTAGATCATTCAGCTTCCACTACTTATATAAAACCCGATCCTAAAACTGGCATCCACAATCCTGCAGTATCCCCACAGGACTACCTCTTCAGTCCAGCCCCTATCAGTTTTCCACATATCCTTACACTCTAGCCACCCCAAACCACTGGTAATTCCTGGGTTCCATGTTGCTATTTATGCCTCCTTGAGGTGGGCCATTCCCTCTTGCCTACCCAGTAAGTTTGTTTGTTTTTGTTGCTTTTGAAGTACTGAGAAATGAACCCAGAACCTCATGCTTGCTGGGCAAGTGCACTGAGCTACATCCATGCCCCCACCCCCATCCCCTACCACTGTAAGTTTTAATCACTCTTCAAGACTCAGTTCAAACACCACTTCCTCTATGAAACTTCTCCCTGGTTCAGGACAAGTTGGTTACTCCCCTATGTGGACTATCCCTGGAACTCTACATTAATCCCACAGATATATACTGAGTACTACTTTGGGCCAAGAATTCTGCTAAACACTGCATGAACAGGGAATTTTTAGTCCAGACCTGGACTCCACTCCATGCAGATGACAATCACAGCTACCTGCTACCTAACTCCATTCCCCTGTATTACCAAAATTACAGACTCCCCGGGGAAGGAGTTCCTCTTCCAGGAATTATTTGGTCTGAAGAGTGCATAGGTGAATTGCCTTTTCCTACCTCCCAGACACTGGAGAAGTGAAATTTCCCTCAGATGCTCCCTCAATTTCTTGTATTGCCTAAATCCAAAAAAAAAAAACAACAAAAAAAGTCTTTTATTTCTTTATTAAGCTAGAAACAGAAGTCCTGACCAGGTCTGATTTGAGTTCCTGGATCAAACCATGCCTGATATAGGAATTCACCTCTGCATATTGCAGTTACACAAAGCCAATGAATTCTTTTTGCTCAAGTTAAGTTTCTGTTTCTGCAACAAAAATCACTATGACAAATAGAGAGCCAACTCTTGTTTTTATTAATTTTTTCCTTATATCTGATCCGGATATATCATCTTAATTGTGTTGGTATAACAGTTGCAGTCACTGACATTCCACTTGAAGTCTTAGAACTGTTGATAAGCACCTGAAACCCTCAGAGTAGAGAAAAGGAGAACTTGGAAATTCCTGAATTCTCAACAGCTACTCAGGACCACCCATCTGGCTCCCTCTTATAGTGTGACATATTTAGAGGACTATGAAGTCCTTTGTCCAAGCCTTTGCTCCCTCAAGTGGCAATCATTAACACCCAGCAGGCAGTGCAGGGTGCAGACATCTCCTTGTACTTGGCAAGATCTGATCTCTGCAGCCCTTTCTTGTACATCAGGCCAGTGAAAGTCTCTTGCAGTGCAAGTATCTTAAATGATTATGATAAAATGATTAGCACAGTGGCCAGCATCGGTGATTATTTCCAATCAGGGTTGGGTTGCACAATGGTCAACACCAGGCAGAGAAACCCAGTAATGTGTCAGCAAGCTCAACTGGGTAATAACAGCTCTCAACCTGGAGCATGCAGGGTAGGGATAAACACCGAGGACTTATTCAAACACAGACTGCCACGCCCCATACCAAGAGCTTCTGATCCAGCAGACCAGAATGGCATCCTAGAATTTGTATTTCACACAGGTGATAACGGTGCTTCTGGACTGGGAGCCATTAAACTGAAAAATCACCAGACGATTCCTAGAGATTTGCACGAAGACTCTTCAAAGGAGAAATTATCCAGCGCTTGTGTTTTCTGCTTCTTTGAAGCCTTCACTTTAACAGAGATCTCCTGTCACCTCTGTTGTGGGTTTCAAAGACTTGGACAAGTGCAGGAGTGAAAACGTAAATCTACATGAGAAGTGAAGCAATACCAACTTCACGCCATCTTCATGCTTTGGCACGTCTGCATGTCTGTCACATTGTCACAGCAGCCCCTAGTTGCAATTATACCTGTTTTACAGAGAAAGAAATAGAGGTATCAAGCAGCTGTGCATGTTATTTAAAGAGAAGACAGATGCTGAAGACAAAAAAAAAGTGTATATCAAAGTAGAAAAAAAGTAATGTAATGTCTCAACTCTAGTGTATCTGATCATGACAGTGGTTCTTGAACTTGAATGTGCCTCAGAATCACCTAGGAGACCTGTCAAAACAGAGAATGAAAGAGTATTATCCACCCTCTAGAATTTTTAAGACTTTGCCACGTTGGAAAATCTTCTGATGCCAGGACAGTGCTGGTACCTAATAAGCTCATGGAAGCAAGCTTTGTTTGCTTTTTTTTTTTATTGTGTTTGTGCATGCGTGCATGAACACTTGTGCGTGTGTGTTGCTGAGTATTGAACCCAGGAAGATAGATTATTTTTGCTGTTTTCTCTATATGAGTAAATATGAGCCACAGGGAACATTAATAACATAACTCTTTGGAGCTGTGTGCAGTGGTACACACCTGGAGTCTCAGCTACTTAGAAGATTAAGGGAGAAGGATTGCTTATGCCCAGAAGTTTGAGGCCAGCATGAGCAACCCAGCAAGATCCACTGGCTGAGGCAGGAGGACCCTAGACTCAGCAACATAGTGAGGCCCTAAACAACTCAGCAAGACCTGTCTCTAAAACTCCAAACCACAGCGAAATGTTACTTCCACACACACACACACAAAAAAAAAAAAAAAGACCCTGTCTCTAAAATAAAAGAGTTGGAGATGTGTCTCAAAACTATAACTCATTTAGAGTCCTGCCACTTGGAAAACTGATAATTTCTAATAGAAGTAAACATTTGCTCACCTTGTGGCCCAGCAAACCTCTTTGTAGATGTTTACCCCAGAGAAATGAGAATTTATAGCCACCAAAAAAGAAAAAGTTCCATCAATGCTTTATTCATAATATCCAGGAAAGGAGAGAAGGAAGGAAGAGAGGAAGAGAGGGAGGAAATAAGCAGGTGCTCATCAACAGGTAAATTAAAATTTTAAAACGTGACACAGTAGAACGTTTACTCAGCATTAAAAAGGAAGGAACTACTGATCTAAACCACTGGTATTCCCAACAGAATGAATCTCAAGTGAATTATGTCGAGTGAAAGAAACTGGACACAAATGAGAACATTCCGCATTGTTTCAAGTGTATGAAGTCCAAGTTCAGCTAAAACTAATCTAACAGTGTCAGAAAGCAGACCACTTGGGTTGCCTGAAGTCAGAGGAGGGTGCTGAGGAGAGGCAGCAAGAGGACAAAAAAGAAGCACGGGGAAACTTTCTGAGATGATGGGCATGTTCCATTCGTCGTTGGGTGATGGTCACACAGGTGCACACATTCATAAAAATTAGTGGAGCTGCACGGTACGGCCTGGACATTCCGCCGTCTGTAAGTTAAACTTCAGTAAAGTCTCGAAGCACACATCCGCAGCCTCAACCCACACAAAAGCCCAGGAGGCTCAGTGCCAGCTGTGACCCGGGTCTTGCCCACTTGGGAGAGGCCGCGGCCCCAGGCGTCCGGTTTCCTCCTCGCTCCAGTCCAACTTCCGTGCGTCTCTGAGCTCCGGGACCGCTGCAGCCTCCCCGGAGAGCGCCGACCAGCTGATCCCGCGCTGGGTCCCGCCACAGCTGGCCGGGGTCTCGCGCGCAGGGGTGGCGGACGAGTGCGCCCCGCCCTCCCAGGGCCCCGCCCCGCCCGCCCTCCCGCTCGCCCGCCTTCCCGGCCCGCCCCTCCTTATCTGGTCCCGGGTCCCGGGCCGGGGAGGCGGCCAGCGGGCTGGGGCCACGCGATGTCGCATGGATCGGGGCTCGTCCGTACCACGTGCAGCAGCGGCGGCGCGCTGGGACCCGGGGTGGGAGCCAGCCAGCCCTCGGAGGGGCTGCTGGACTCGGTCTACCCCCGCACCCAGGGGGCCCTGCTCAAAGTGGCGCAGATGGTAAGAGAGGGCGGACGCAGGGCCGGGGTCACTCCGATCGCCCGGGGAGGACTGGGACGGGGAGCGCACGCGCCGACCGCTGGACCTGGCCGGAGTCCCCAGCCTCGCGCGGCGGGTAGGGTGGGGGCCGCGTCGCCGAAGCCGAGTCCCCGGGAAAGTTGCCGGCGCAGCCCGCCCGCAGCCCGGCCCCCAGCGGTGCCCGCGGTGCCGCCGCCCGCCCAATCTCGATCTCGGGGCCCCGGGGCTCCCCAACCCCCTCTGCGGGCCTGACCCGCCTGCCGACAGAAACCACGGCCCGAGTTCCTCATCGCCTTCCTTCCTCTTCTCTGGGCCGCGCCGCTTCGAACCCGCGCCAGGAAGGAAAAGTCTCCCGGCCAGCGGCGCTGAGCCGGCCAAGCCCCACCTCCCGACCCGCAGCCGGCCCTTCCCTGGCCGTCGCCGCGGGGCTTCCCCGCTCCGGGGGCAGTTTGTCCCCCACGATGAGGGCGCAGGGCTTTGCATTCCCTTAGGTGGTGAGGATGGACAGGGAGAATGGGGACCCTGGGACCGCCTCCGGGTCCCCTGCGCTCTCCAGTTCCAAGGGAGGGCCCTGGAAGGCAGAGGATCGTTTGGGAAAGGCCGGTTCTGAGGGGCTTGTCCTGTTTGGGGAAGTCAGTCTCCTGGATGGAGTCATCTGGAGCCAGGCGGGACGAGGTTGCGGGCTCTCTGAGTGACCACCGCAGCACAGGAAGTTGCCCTATCTGTTAGTTCCCTGATCTTTTCTCCCTCCCATGTTTTTCTTTGAAAATATTTGATCTTAAACACCTTTCCGTTTGTATGATGCGTTTTGAAACTGGGTTGGGCTGTTCACGACTCGTCCCTCAGTGTAAGGAGCTCAGCAAAAACTGTAAAGAGGGGAGTGGTAGTTTTTGAGATGTGGGAAAAGAAGTGTGGGGAGAGGTATAGGCTCCTGGAACCAGAAGCTGGTGCCTGCGAAAGTGGAGCGGTCTCTCCGGAGCTGGGCACAGGGTGGGAATCCTCTATGTTTCCGTAGCTCTTATTGCAAATGCTGAATGTTTAAAAAAAAAAAATAGTGGCTCCCTGTCTGGGGAGACTAGAGGGACCTGGACTGGGTTCCTTCCTCTCTAAGACAGTGCCTAGCTAAACCCAAAATTAGGAAGTAGAGGCGTTTTAGCAACTACCAAAAAAGGCCTGGTGCTGAGCAGTGTTGAGCATTTTTATTTTTCCTTCCTTCTTTTTATTATGGAGGGGGGAGCTGATAAGAGATTTGATCAGCTAAATGGAGCAGGCAGCCCACCTCCTCCATCCTTAAAAGAGGCTGGGGTGAGACAGACCCTGTCTGAGCTTTGGAAGTGATGCACACGGATGGGGAGCAGAAACTTCTGCTTTGGCCCATATGTTTGGTGGACAAAGATGTTGGGGTGTGAAAAAAACTCCTTGTTGGTCTGGACTTTGGTTACAAAGGTAGTGGAGGTGAGAAGCTGTCATGCTGGCCCATGAGTTTGAGGAACAATGGTATTGGGGCATGAGAGACCTCCATCTCTATTACAAGTGCCTCTTGCCTGTGGCCCTTGTGCTAGGTTGCAGGTGACAATCGATGATGGAGCCTGTTGTTCAAAGAAGAGAACAAAGACTTTAACAATAACTTTATCTGGCTGCTGCTTTTCTGTGTGCTCTCCTTAAAACCATGCCACCCTTGCAGGATTGCCAGGTAGCTACAGGCTAGTTTGATCAAACCCTGTGGGGGTGAAGTTGCCCTTCCAGGGTGGTCATACTATATTATAGACAACTTAGGACTGTCTGCTGGGGCCTCCTATCGAACTCCTCCCTGTTCTTCTCTTTTCTGGGATTCCTACTTGGGCATTTGACATTCATTTGTCTTCATTTCTGGACAGCACTCAATTAGCCAAGTTTTAACTTTGAGGAAAGACAGAAGCAGCTAAAATAGTGCCACCCTTTGGGCACTCTATCCATGGAGATCTCTCTCTCTCTCTCTCTCTCTCTCTCTCTCTCTCTCTCTCTCTCTCTCTGTACTAGGGCTTGAGCCAAGGGACCTTACCATTGAGCCACATCCCCAGCCCTTTTATAAAATATTTATGTATTTAATTTAGAGATAGGGTCTGCCTGAGTTGCTTAGAGCCTCCCTAAGTTGCCGAGGCTGGCTTTGAATTCACAATCTTCCTGCCTCAATCTCCAGAGCTGCTGGGATTACAGGCATGCACCACTACTCCCAGTGGGTATCTCATTTTGACTGCAGATGTCTCAATTGTATGCAGGCCCTTTTGTCCTTGGCTTCCCTAGAAGTAGTTTCATCATGGGCTGATCAACAGCCTTTCCATGTGTTCCCTTAAGAAGGAATTGCAGAGGCTGGGTCTTTAGAGAACAGCTTCCTCTACCTTGGGTGGGCCTCTTCTGAATTCTCCACTACCAGAAAGTGAAAAGGGAAGAAAATAGGGAGAAAGCAGTTCTCTAAGTGACTGCTGGTACTTGTCATGTCCTTTGTCCATGTATAATTCTTACAATTCTGTGGCCATGAGGGCTTCATTTCTTTCATCTTCCTTATTAGATCAGAGACATAGTCACAGTTCTTGACTTAAAGGAACCTTAAAAAAAATATAGCTGTTTTTTGAGCCCTACTATTGTTCTTGATAAAGCCCAAGGAATTGTGTACTATATACCACATATATATCTTCTCATTAAATGTTTTTAAGAAACCTGTGGAGTCGCCTCTTTGACAGATGAGGAAACGGAGGCTAAGACTTACTAAAGCCACACAGCAGTCAGCAACAGCAGTAGAGCCTACCCAGGCCTCGTTGCTTGTTAGGGATACAGCGAAATCAAAACCACAGTGAGATAACTTTACACTCAGAAAAATGACATTAACTGAGAAAGACAGATAATAACAAAAAGTAAGAATGGGGAGGATGTGAAGAAATTGGAACTCTGGAATATTGTTGATGGGAAGGTAAAGTGAGCTACATCCAGGAGATATGAACACATGCCCAAAGACATATGTTCATATATGTTTTCTGTAGTATTATTCATTATAGTCAGAAAGTGGAAACAACACCAATGTCCATCAAATGATGAATGTATAACACCAACAATAAGGCAAGTGATACATTCATACAGTGGAAAATTATAGAGCCCCCAATAGTGGAGACTGAAGTACCAACATATGCAACTGAATGGATGACCTTTGACAACATTGTGCAGGTAAAAAAAGTCAGTCACAAAAACCCACATATTATATGGTTCTACTTGTATAAACGATTGAGAATAGGCAAATTTATAGACACAAAAAAATGAATTAGTGGTTGCTTAGGGCTGGACATGGTTGGAGATAGGAAAGCAGAAGTGATTGCTAATAGGCAGGGTTTTGCGGGGGCAAAATGAAAAATTTTCAAAGATTGATTATAGTGATGGTTGTATAATCATTGAACTTTATACTTTAAATGGGTGAATTGTATAGTAATTGAATTATGTCCTACTTAGCCACTAAAAAGAGAGATCTAGAGAGGAGATTGAGGGGGCATAGTGCTCTACATGCAGCCACAAGATGTGGGGAGCACAACTATATTAGAGGAAACCCCCTTTGAATCTCCACTACACCTACCACTAGAGGAAGGAGTGTTCACTGCAGGCCTCACAGAGTCTGGGCTGAAGGACCAGGTCTCCTATCATCACCAAGAGGCCTGGGCTGGAAGAGACCCTGGCCAGGAAGATAAAATTTAATAGTTGGTCACCTAAGGGAAGAGGGTCAGAGGTGAATCTTGACAGATGATCATGTTGGGAGTCCCCATTCACTTCTTTATACAGTATGTTTGATTTGGAGATTTCTGGTATGTTGGAGGTGGTGAGAAGGAAAAAGATGTAGGAAGAAACAAGCCAGTATTGGGTCAATTCTTTTTTTATTAATTGATGCATGATAATTGTACCTATTTGTGGGGCATAGAGTGATATTTTAATACACACATATGTGTATTGATCAAATCAGCATATCCATCACCTCAAACATTTATCTTTTTTTTTTTTTTTTGTACCAAGGCTAGAACCCAGGGTGCTTAACCACTGAGCAACATCCTCAGCTTTTATTTTATTTATTGATTGATTTATTGAAACAGGGTCTTGCTAAGTTGTTTAGGGCCTCCCTAAGTTGCTGAGGCTGGCTTTGAACTTGCAATCTTCTTGCCTCCTCCTCCCAAGCCAGTGTAATTACAGTTGTGCACTGCCACACCTGGCTATCATTTCTTTCTGAGAGACAATTTTTAATCTTCCCACTGCAGACATTTCGAAATTGGTTTTATTTCATTGAGCATCTGCTATACTTTAACTCTATTCAAATTGTGCACAGTATATCTGTTAGCAAGGTAGACCTCTGTAGGAAAACAAAGCCCTTTTTTGCACAATTTTTGCACAATCATAATATGGAAGGAGAATGAGGATGTAGTTCATAGGTAGCAAAGATAAAAAGCTCAGTATCTTCTAGGAAGTTCATCTATTTATTCAGCAAATATTTATTCAGCACCTACTGTGTGCTGTAGAAAGAAGACTACACAAAACAGATCATCCCCTGCCCTCCTTATACTGCAATGGAGGAAGCAAACATTAATCAAATGACTGTAGGCAAATGCATTCATCCCTTGGTATCTGTGGGGGTGGATTCCAGGACCCACCTCTGATACTAAAATACACAGATGCTCAAGACCCTTGATTAAAATAGTGACATAATTACCAGGAATTTCCACACATCCTCTTAGATATTTTAAATCTTACTTATAATACCTAATACAATGCAAATGCTATGTAAATAGTTATAGGTATTGTCTAGAGAATAATGACAAGAAAAAAAATTAGTTCATGTTCAGTACAGTTGAGACCAAGTTACCCCCTGTAATTAGAAGCTGGGACAAAAGTTGGAGAGGAGAGCTGCTCTCTACTCAGTGGGTAGAGAGTATTTCTGGGAGTCCAGGAAATACTTTTCTGAGGAAAGGATATTT